GATTCTCATTTTTTGAATTGGAAAAAGCTTCCTGGATGGGAAGCGAAACGTCTTCAAACTTTGAAAACAAAGTACAGTGGATTTTTTTTATTAGTTTTTTGGAATCATTATTAAATATACAATTTAGCTCACTTCAGATTCATCAGATTTTTTCTCAGAGCAGTTTGTTCTGCCCCTGATTTGTCTTTGAAAATAACGCAATATTTGAATCAGGAAATTATCATTTGGCTGCTGTGTAAATCTGTTGATTAAAAACAGAATTATTTATTCACTAAAAATCCATCTAAAAATGAAGGAAACACATTAGTAATCAGAGTTATTTTGGTTTGCATCATTAGGAAATCCAAAAGCCTGTTGGTCTGGAAAATGTCTGGAAAGTGTCACAGATTATCTCTGAAGGAAACAATCTTCTGTCTGAAACCTTTGCAGATGTTCCGTATCAAACAGGCAAACTGCTGCAGCAAAGATGAACTTCTGACTGGAAATCGGCCCAAATAAAGAAATCCTGTTTAATGTTTTAAAGATCATCTATTTCTTTGGCCGAACGACAACTTGGCCGCTTCGTCCGGATGGAATCCAGGAAATAAAATCTAAAAAAAACTCACATGAAATAAAGCAGCTGTGGAAAAAACACAGATTTGTTCATCAACAGTAAACAGAAGGTTTGAAATGAGCCCTGAGATCAAAGCTGGGAGGAAGACGTTTGGTTTTTAGTTTGATCCGTTCAGTTAGAGCTTTGATTATTAGAATGACTTACGAGAGTTCATGAATCCCTGTAAGGAAGCTGATACTTATGTTTTTTTTAAGTCTAATTACACTTTTAATGTATTTTCTAAATCAGGGTTTCCCAAACTGGAGTCTGAACCCCCAGTGCATCATGGGATGGTTCTTCACCATCATTGTAGAGAGAAAATACAACATGCTTAACTGCAAATATCCAATAAAATCATTAAATGTATCATGTATGGCTGAAACATTTAATCAAATTCGTCATTCATCAATTACGGTATTGAAATAATTGTCCTTTAATTCAGTATTTGATTGTTAACTGAAGATATAAACTTCGGACTGAGCTTGGATCAGTTAACCGTGCCGAGTTCCGATCCTTACACACCGTGCTGGCCCAGTTCCTCGCCTCCTAGTGACGATCTGCGGTACTACTGCTCTATAGAGCGGAGGTCTTCAACAGGGGGTCCAAGGAGGTACTGCAGGGGGGTCACAAAAGTTTTTGTTGATTACTTTTTTTTATATTCCCCCCTGCAATTTTTCCCCCTAATTGAAATGTCTTTAAATCCACATTAACATGAATTCAACAGACTGTAATAAACAGATAAATGGAGGCAGAAGACGTCTTTCAGTCATCAATGCTCACATTCAGCGACACACAGGAGCTCTTTCAAGCTGGGCACCGTTTCATTCACAACACCTGTCCCATCAACCAGGAATCAAATACTTTAATAATCCCAGGGAGGGATTACTTTAGTTACATTACTCCATCTGTAATAGAGAGACTATAGGAGCAGTTTGATAGAACACAGTTTCATACAATATATATATATAATTAGGGGGTCCCCGCTCCATCTCGCCATCAGTTTGGGGGTCCTTGGCCTGGAAAACTTTGAAGACCCCCTGCTCTAGAGGGGAAAAAAGCAAATCAACATGGCGGCAACCATATCCTTCAGGAAATGTGGTTATAATTGAGATATTATATGACAAACGATAGTCTAATCAGGGCTTAAAGATGCAGGAAACAT